GTTTTTAAAGCACTTAAATCATACATTTCTGACCTTATCTCATTTAATTCTGCTCCTAAGTCCCTCAGATCTGCAAATTAACCTCTTTTATATGTCCCACGGTCACGACTTAAAGGAGTCATATGATGTTGCTAAAAATAACATTATTTTGTGTAATTTGGTGTAATGAAATGTTTATGCGGTTTAAGGTTAAAAAAACACATTATTTTCCACATACTGTATATTATTGTTTCTCCTCTATGCCCGCCTTTCGATTTTTACAAAGCTCATCGCTCTGAAAAGCAATGTGTGCTGTGATTGGCCAGCTATCCAGTGCGTTATGATTGGCCGAATACCTCAAGTGTGTGACGGAAATGTTACGCCCCTACCATACAGTTATGATGCCCTGTCAGGCCGGAGCAATGATTCAAAAACATGAAAACCCATTATAAACGAGGCATTCGTTGCATCCAGTGGGGACATAATTATGGATTATAATGACTTATACTGTCTTTTTACGCGTTGTGTTGCATCGCGCCGCGTAAACATATAACCATGTCTGCACTTGTGTGTTATGAAATGTTTATGCGGAAAAAGACATTCTTTTCCACATACTGTACATTATTGTTTCTCCTCTATGCCCCGCCTTTCTGAAACGCTAGATTTTTACAAAGCTCATCGCTCTGAAAAGCAATGTGTGCTGTGATTGGCCAGCTATCCAGTGCGTTATGATTGGCCGAATACCTCAAGTGTGTGACGGAAATGTTACGCCCCTACCATACAGTTATGATGCCCTGTCAGGCCGGAGCAATGATTCAAAAACATGAAAACCCATTATAAACGAGGCATTCGTTGCATCCAGTGGGGACATAATTATGGATTATAATGACTTATACTGTCTTTTTACGCGTTGTGTTGCATCGCGCCGCGTAAACATAAAACCATGTCTGCACTTGTGATCGGAGAAATGACAAACAAGCCCTACTCTACACTGCCCAAAAAACTCGATTTAAATATAAAAACTCTTTAAATATAAAAAACGTACAGTCTCTGAGTCAGAACAGCCAGCATTGTAGTCTACTCGACCAGGATCAGGAAACGGTCCTCCATAAAATGTGCTGCACATATCTGAATATTTGGGTTGAAGTGTTCTGGAACAGTGTTGTAAATACAACTTAACCACTGATTTGTAGTCATGTCCATTTTTGGAAGGCCAAATAAAGTATTTTTGCTTTCACAATGAAACACAGCGTCACACACGGTGGCCTAGAGTGAGCAGAGGCCGGGGGCTAGAGTGAGGAACAGCCGGCGGATTCGACGAAGGAGCATCCGGAGGGCTTGCGGCAACCACATGTGACGAGCCCGGGCTGGACTCCGCTTCACCCACGGTGAAAGCCGATCCGGTGATCCACAGCACAAAGTTGTTGTATTTCCTCAGCAACCAGCACGGATCAGCTCCAGGCATGATGAAGCCATATCGTCCTCTTTTGGAAGGCCAAACAAAGTAGTTTCACTTTCACAACGAAACACACAGCGCCTTCACGACATGGGGCGGCAACAACAATACTACAGCGAGAATAAAAGTTACGCCTTCTTTCTTTGCATGAACATTTGGGAGTACTAAACTACATAAACTACTGTTATAAAAATTGAGATTGGCAAGATTTGTTCAAGTTCAAATGTTCAACTGGATTTATTTAAAATAGTTTTTTCTTGTTTCTTTCAAGCTATTTAATGCATTTCTGAATAAAATGCTTAATTTATTTGTAAAAATCCCACATTTTTGAATGGTAGTGTACGTTTTTGTTCAATATGTGTATTAATAAAATTAATGGGAAATATACTTCTGGAAAAGCAAGTTGTGCTTGCTATGGTTTTGCTGTGAAACCTTTGTTCACAATTAATGTTAACGGTGCTTACCTTCATCTGTAGGGAGAGGTTGTTGTTCCTGCACCAAATTTCCAGGTCAGCCAGATTCATTTTCCAGGCATATTCATCATCATTTCAGTAATTCTGGTGCTGTCAGCAAAATAGATAATTAAATAGTTTTGTTGTGGGTATATTTGAGTGTTTATTGCTCCCTCATTCAGATCTCTTATAAGCAATTATCTTACAAATCTGACTATTTTCCCAAATGATTTGTCCGCCCATGTTGTACAAGTAAAGAAATCAAAATACCTGTCATTTTTAAAAGTAAATTGAAGAATTGGCAACCTGATGTACAATTATTTAAATAATCAGTTTACACATGTTGGCAAACACTGACGTGATTAAACAACATATTGTAAGCACACGGCTAATCTAAAATTAAAATGTTTGGCCTCTGTGCGCTTCATAAAACCATCTTTGAATGTAAATACAATGACATGGAGGAAATGAGATGCTCAACATTTGAATAAAGGGCACATCATTAATAACAGCCAACCTCAGATAGCTGATTAATGATTAGAGAGGCATGATCCCTGAATATATTTATGATCATATGAAAGGCACAAAGTTCATACCATTTGTTTTACTAGGCAACTGAATCAACTTAATGTTTGCAGTGAAGATAATGATGTGAGACTGAAGAACAATTGAATGAGCTTGGATGGCAGACTGTGAATAAAAGGGATGGAGTAGACAGTTTACATTTTGCATTTATAATGGTGTTGTATTGTATAGCTTGAGGGTTTTTAAATTTATCTGCTTAGGGTTCTCAGACTGAAGGGTCCAAATGTCAAACAGCTGTGAAATGAACAGATGGGGAGACTGTGTAATTTCTGGTTTTCATGAGCAGCTGGGAGTGTGATATACACTTTCACAAAAGGATGAATATGTCAAGTTTATCCCTCATTGTCATGTCATTTTTTTGTGTAATAAGATACATTATGGCAGTTAGAGCAATGCATATGAATCTCCATAGTGTCTAGTTCAGTGTTGATTTGTGAAAATATTTTGGTGGACTGATTTCTGCATTGTTAAAAAAAAAAAAGTCAAAGATTTACTTGATTGTTGTAGTTTTTTGGCAGTTTACTTTTATTATTACTGTTATTGCACCAACACAGCTTTGCTATTATGGTATAGGGCTACACTGAAAAATACTTTTATGATTTAGTGACATTTGCAGTCTTCCCAGAATGCACTGGGTCATAAATTAAATAAAAGGGACATAACACATTGTGTTATCCACAATCCATTTTCAAATGATTTCAAATTTCTTAAATATTAATTAAAATAAATACAATTATATCGGCTTTATATCGGCCATCGGCCACTCTGCTTTCCAAGATATTGGCATCGGCTGTAAAAAAAAAAAAGAATATCGGTCGACCATTAATTTTTATTCAGGGTGCATGAAATTTAGAGTTAAATTCATACATTTATAAAAGATATATATATTTCAAATAAATGCTGTTTCCACAAAAATATTCTTTTGTAAACGGTTTTTAACATAGATAATAATAAATGTTTTTTGAGCATCAATCATGTGACACTGAAGACTGGAGTAATGGTTGCTGAAAATTCAACTTTGCCATCAGAGGAATAAATTATGGTATAGTGTATATGTAAGGTCCACGCACTTGGCCCAAGGAAGGTATCCAGTGGTGGATGAAGGTTTCTTGCATGTTCGGTCTTTTCAGCGTGCAAAGTTATTCAATTTAGGTTTAACTCAAATCTGACCCCATTTTATTACCTAATCTGACTCCATTTTAGTATGATCTCGGATTTAGATTGAAAGGCAAATTGGTTGTTTGTCTGTAATTATTGCTATTATTCTGACATTTGGTTATTCTAGTTAACTCTTTACTTTATATTTACTCGTTCATTAGGAATCTATGTCACTCAGGGTGCCTCACGGCGGCCGCTCTACGTGGGCCCCATGATCACAAACTCGCCAGTCTGATCATTAGCCAGAGGTTATGACTAATACTATTTAAGAGGTCGCCCCTTGCTTACCATTCTTTAAATAGTAGTTCTGTTTAGCCCCCTTACCCATGTACAACTTAGTTAAAGCTCAAAACAATAATCAGCGGTTATGCTGGTACTATTCGTCTAGCCCCCGATAGTTATATAACTACGTACAACTTAACTAAAGCTGAGACAATAATCAGCGATTATGCTAGTATTATGAAATATGTTAATATTTAGATAGTATTTTTATCTACCCCCCCCCCGATAGTTAAAATAACTACGTACAACTTGAATAAAGCTCAAACAATAATCAGCGGTTATGCTAGTACTATTTGCCTAGCCCCCGATAGTTAATATAACTACGTACAACTTAATTAAAGCTGAGACAGTAACCAGCGGTTATGACAAGTACTATGACTAGTCCCCCATAGTTAACGCAAACCTGAGATCTAGTATGCACTTAACCCTGGATGCAGATTTGCGGAAACATACGCCTTCACTTAATCTACTTGAGAAAATAATTTCAGAGTAAGTCAGAATAAATAAAATGTAACAATTTATTATCAGTCAGGTATATATGTATTATGCCAATTACATAGCCAATTCAAAGATATCAAATCAATACAAGACATCAAATTCTCATAGATGAATCTAAGAGTAAGATGCATACCTGACGTTTAGAAAAATACATAGTATGAAGTGTGTGGCATAGTAAGGGAAATCTCTCTCTCTCACACACACACACACACACTCATTCATTCCCTGTGTCTGTTTATTTGCAGTCTTTAAAAATGTTTTTAGTATATCCCTATTCAGCCAACACAGTTTCCTCTAAATCTTTGTGTGCGGCTGTGTGGGAGGATGTGGACTTGTTTCAATAGGTCACATTGCACTGTCTATATGTTTTTCTACTGCTCTCTTTTTTTTGTTTAGCCTGTAAAAAAGCCTTACTGATAGCTATATGATTATTATTCGTCATAGATGTGAAACAGAATGACATGCTGTTGTGCTGATATTTCACAAACCCTGCATATTACTGGTTGTGAATTTTTTTTCTCTATAACTGAAATACTAGGAACAAACAGTTCTGAGAAAGTGCTCCTGCTGATGTATTATCGTTTCCTCAGTCCCCCTGACAGCTCACTGAACCCAGCTTTCCTCCGCTGCCATGGCTTCCACACCTCCACCTCTCATGAAGAAGCACAGTCAGACTGATCTTGTGAGTCGCCTCAAGTCCCGAAAGGTCCTGGGTGTTGGTGGGGAGGATGATGATGGAGAGGTGCACAGGTCAAAGGTAACATCCCACTTGTCTGCACCTGCATTCATATTTGACCTCAATAGCAGCTATTCATGAAAGAAAACATTTTTTCTTCATATTTTGAGATTTCTGGGCACAGTTTCCTACATTGATATATTCTAGTAGCTTTTTTGATTGTGTCTAATGTCTTTCTGGGGTTTAGTGCAACTTGAAGTGTATGCATTGATATTAATAATAATAACTATAGCTGCAAGCAGTAATTATTCGGGCTAAGCACAACAGAAGCAAGCAAGGCATCAAGCATCAGACCAACTGCAGCAGTGAGTAATTGAAGCCGTTTTAAGATGATTTTAGTCAAAATGGCTCAAAAATCATAAATACAACCACTAGTAAATTGATTTAATGGGTTATCACTTTTGCCCAAATAGGTGGTGCTGTTATTAAATCGATGTGGAGTGTTCTGTGTGAGGTGACAATGCACACACAAAGTTTGGTGTCAATATGTCAAAGCTTTGCAGAGATACATCCAGTCATTTTGGCATCATGCCTTAAATATGTTGCTGCGCTATACAAAAATGGTTTTGTCTATCGACACAAAATCCATAACATTTTGTCAGCACAGTCTTAAGATGATCTGACTCGAATTTGATGAAAATCAGAGAAGCGGTCTAAGAGGAGTTTGAAAAAGTATAGGTTTTTAAAGAAAATCAAAATGGCAGAAAATCGATGTTCTCGGCATGACCCAAAGAATATATTGAGACTGTTACAATTTGTTTCATTAGAATAGGCTAATATAAAAGTTATTAGCTTTTTTGGAAATTTCTTTATAACTTTTGACCACAAGCTGCCCCGAAACTTTATGAGTACCATCAGGGCAGGGTGCCGAAAACACATACAGAGTTTTGTAACGATACATGATACTATTTGAGAACGGTTTGACTAATGTACTTCAATTCTATAACTTTTTGCCAGCATAGTCTGAAGATGTTCTGAGCCAATTTTGGTGAAAATCAGACAAACCATCTAGGACTAGGAGTTTGAAAAAGTAGGTTTTTTGAATTATTAAAAATTCTCGCAGTCGTATGGATTCAGAAGATTTGGATTACAGCGCACAAATAGTTTCATTTCGTAATTATGTTGCGTTTTTGGTGTATTTTATAATTCTATTGTCAGTCACAGCATGTAGGAGAAAATGCCTTTTGTGGCCCATGGCAAACAAAGTAAACATTACATGACAAGTAAAGGTTAAACGATTGCAGAAATGTTATTTATTTTAAGGTTTAAAGTGAAGTCTTGTTTACATTATGTAGGCCTATTCTTGGAAACGAGCTGGCAGCAGAAATCACAACAAAACGAAATGTTATCATTTCATATTAAGTAAACAATGTAATAATGCAATTGAAAACAAGGTAATTGATATGACAAACTAAAAACAACTAATAATAAAATTAATGCCGCGATTTTTAACATAAGGATTCATTTTTAGGTGTTGTCAATACGTCAGTTTTGTACGTTTAAATGCTGAAAATATGTCAGTATTGTACGTTTTAGTGCCTGTAAAAGCGTAAGTAAATGTACGTTTTATAGAACCAGATTTTACGTAAAATACATACGAATTATCATGAGATCACGTTGGTTTTTCTGAGCATTACATTTGGAAGTTGTTCTGTTGAAAGCAATATATAAATGATAGAATACATTGTATACAGATCTATTTTCCTTCATGGGAGGTGGGGATACATCACATGAGCCACACATTTATTGTGCATTAGGAACACACCTGCTATGGGAGAGGTGGCTGACTAGATGAATTGTGGCACAGTGTGGCACACAGCTCGGCTCTAGGATATTAATTGGCCCCTCACACTCATCTTGAACCCAGTGTACAGTCATGTTACACCACCATGAATAACCCACAATGAGAGCTTATAGGCACAACTACCTGTCTCACGCTCGGTGCTATTAAAACTCATGGGGCTTTGAGGTAGTCCACATGAAACATGGACATTACTCAGACATGGTCAACCTCTCCACCCCTGCACTGTGCATCAACTCTGGGTAGGGTCACAGAGAAAGATAAAAGACAACATCCATTAAGGGGCAGTCGCCCATCACCCTCTCTTTCAACAGAGATGGCTCAGACAGTTCTCTGCCACAATTCTGCGCACGAAAGATCATATTTTGAGCACACAAAAGTGCATTTTGTACACGCGCGATCTGAGTTTTGTGGAGAAAATGTTCGTTTCACAAAGAAAAAAGTATTTAGAGCGCACTAAAATCAATTTTGCATTTAAAATAAGTTTTTGGATGTGTGCAGTCCTTCTCTTTTGCGCGTGCAACATTTCACTAGCTTGCTCACCTGATGCCTGCCCTCAGTGCTCTCTAAATGCCGAAGGCTGGCTTCCTCAACACAACCCAGCCTTACAAAATGTCATAATTCCGGGCAATCAGAGACGAGGCTGCTAAATTCTGACTGGCTGCCTTGACAACCACTCACAACATTCCTTGCATTACTTCCAGCAGAAGAGGAAAAATACAGTGCATGCATAATTATGCAAGTTGATATTCTGATCATATTTTTTTCCAAGCACATTTTACCAGTTCCAAACAACATCAATCTTATAAATTCTGACTGGCTGCCTTGACAACCAATAACAACATTCCTTGCATTGCTGCTTGACAGCGGAAGAGGGAAAATACTGTACAGTGCATGCATAATTATTATGCAAGTTGATATTCTGTTTATATTTTTTTCCAAGCACATTTGACCAATTCCAAACAACATAAATCTTAATAACTGCTATTAATCTTGTATTGAATCACTTATAACTTATATATTATTGTTCATGAAGGCTGGAAGTGAAAAACGCCTTATATTCAGGGGTGCATAATTATTAAGGAGGTTATCTTCTACAGATAAAATCTCGAGATGGACTAAAAATGAACTCCCAAAACTTACTGCCAGATTCTGGAAGATAAATTCTTCAAACAGTGGTACAAGAGGATGTGGTGCTGGTCCTTCAAGAGTCACTCTCAACTTATCTGTCTATAAAGCCTATAAAAAAATCATTTTCTGATTCTATACTTAACCTAAGTTTCTGAGAACCTGACACCTTGTACTTCTGGAGACTATAGGTAGGTTGCAGTTCTAGAAAATGGTGGTGCTGGGGATTAAATGGTTCCTGGTGATTTCACATCTAATTCTTCACCTTAATTCCTAATTATTTTGCAGTTAACATGCATCTTTTCTTATCCACATGTTTTTGACTGACCCTGCTGACCCACTGAGCATTTTGCTGTCCAATGGTTGTGCATTAACTTTGCAATTTCTAGTATTGTATTCGTTTTGAATATTTCTCATGGGCATTTAATAATTTTTTAGAGTTAAGCTGTTTTTAAGAGTTAAATCTCTTTTTTTGGCTCATTTTATCTGTAAAAGAAAATCTGCTTAATAATTATGCACCCCTGAATATAAGACATTTTTCACTTCCAGCCTTCATGAAAAATTATATATCAATTATAAATGATTAAATACAAGATTAATAGTATTATTAAAATTGATGTCGTTTGGAATTAGTAAAATGTGCTTGGAAAAAAATATGATCAGAATTTCAACTTGCATAATAATTATGCATGCACTGTATTTTTCCTCTTCTGCTGTCCAGGAATGTTGTTATTGGTTTTCAAGGCAGCCAATCAGAATTGAGCAGCCTTGTCTCTGATTGGCTGGAATTATGGCATATTGTAACGCTGGGTTGTGTTGAGCAAGGGAGCCGTTGGCGTTTAGAGAGCACTGAGGGCCGGCATCAGGTGAGCAAGCTAGTGAAACTTTGCACGTGCAAAAGAGGTCTGCACAAATCCAAAAAACTTATTTTAAATGCAAAATTGATTTTCGTGCGCTCTAAATACTTTCTTTGCGAGACAAACACTTTCTCCACAAAACTCAGATCACGCGCATGCAAAACGCACTTTTGCATGCTCAAAATATGATCTTTCGTGCGCATAATTTTGGCAGAGATGTAATCCCATAAGACAGCACCATGGCTGAAGATGTATGCATGAATACAGCTCCACATGAGCTTTTAAGAGATTCTATAATAAAGGAATAGTTCACCCCAAAACGAAATTTGTAGATGAGTTTGTTTCTTCATCTGAACAGATTTGGAGAAATTCATCATTACATCCACTTGCTCACCAATCAATCCTCTGCAGTGAATGGGTACCGTCAGAATGGAAGTTCAAACAGTTTTATCAACATCACGATAATCCACAAATGAAAAATTGTCCTCTCACATCAAAATCCAGCAATGTATTTGTTTATAACTATTTTGGCTTATAAAATGTGCTTGGTCTGTGCATGACCTGTTTATTACATGCAGCTTTTCACTTCACTAGATGTTAATTGTTGGACTGGGTTTATGTGGATTACTAGAGTATTATTATGATGTTTCTATCAGCTGTTTGGACTCTCATTCTGATGGCACCCATTCACTGCAGAGGATCCACTGGTGAGCAAGTGATGTAATGCTAAATTTCTCCAAATCCATTCCGATGAAGAAACGCTCTCATCTGCATCTTGAATGGCCTGAGGGTGAGTACATTTCAGCAAATTTTTGGGTGAACAATTCCTTTAATAATTGAGCAGTTTCGCCAGTTAAAGTAGATCATGTTTTTTGGGTGCAAAAGTTTTCTGTGCAAAATCTCATGTGGTAGAAAATGATTTTACTCTTCCATTACTTGAAGACTTGCGCTTTTAGAATATTGATTTTTCTGTCCACCAGTTAACATGACCATGTGGGCCATGATGTATTTGAAGTACTCTGTTTAATTTCCCCATTAGCTTGTCACTAAAACAAGCTATCAGCCCAGTTGCTGCGATACTGCGGTCAGATGAACATACTGTGTAGCTTCAGCCGTTACAGGTCTTATGAGAAAACGGAGCACTCCCTGTTCCCAGCAGTTGTCAAGATGTGTTAACCCCCCAGAAACAACCAGAGCGAGGTGTCGATTGAGTGATGGTCTCCATAGCACATGACATGCTCTTGTTTCTCAGTGCGACATGCTTTCTGAACACTTTATCTCTGTGATCACTTTTCTCCTGAGAATAATCAGTGGCCCACCGTATTAGCTACTGCTGTTTACTTGGTAAATACAGCAGCATTTGTTTATCAAGTTATTATTATATATTATTTGTTTTATCAACTGCTGAACAAAATATTTACAAAACAGAAATGGCTGATGTCAGCTTGTCGATGACATTAGTTTTACTGTAAGCAATTGCTATTTATGTGCTCCTGAGAGACTTAAACAGTCACTGTGACACACGCCCCCATACAAACACACTCACACTTTTGTGCCTCCCCTTTAAAATGACCTTTAGTCAGGATTTCAGCGCCACAGCTTCCCATTAGAAACAGATCGGGTTTTCATCAACACTAAATTACCCATGCTGCGGAGGCTTTTAGTGAAGCATGGTGGAGTAGGGAGATGGATAGAGCCCTCTCTTTTAGGGTGGGAGAAGAAAGGGAAAGCCTGCATGTTTAATGGCCATTAGGGCGAGTTTTTTTTTTTATCCCTGGAAGCCAGTGCTTTTTTTTTTTTTAGATGGAAATGGAAATAGCTAGGTAACATAATTGTGATAATTTCTTATTGAGCACATCAAAGTAAAGATAATGCCTATTTATGTGTTTCAAAAATATGTAAATGTAGATTGCAACTGTATAGTTTCCTACTGATATCCTGCTGAATATTTGATCCTTTTAAGCCTGCAACTGATGGTTACTATTGGTAGCTCTGACAAGCTTTCATGTTAGTGTTTTTATGCAGACAAAGAAAAGAATGCATTGAGTGAATTTTCTGTGGTATTATTTAAGAACATCTAGAACTACCTTAAATTTAAATATAAAATTATAGTTACCAAGAAGGTACCATTTTCAGTATGCTTTTAGGTTTTATTTGGCATTAAGAGCTAACACTAGACAAGAGCAAGTTTGTTAGAATACATGGCAGATGGCAGTAGTAGCCAGGGTAGGATTGGTCAGTTTTGTTTAAAAAAAAAAGTTTTAAGGCCGGGCTTAGCGAAAGGTTCATTGACCTTCTTATTTTATCCACCGGTTTATGTTTGCACAAAAAATGTACACTACCATAAAGAAATTAATACTTTTATTCAGAAAGGATGCAAGTATTTTTTTTAACAAGTTATAGTAAAGCCATTTATGATGTTGCAATAGATTTCTATTTCAAATAAATTTTTTTCTTTTAAACTTCAAGCAGAAAAACTGTTTTCAAAATTGATGATTATAGGAAATATATTTCTTGAGCACTAAATCAGCAAAATTCAGCTTTGTCAACACATGAATAAATTACATTTTAAAATATATTACAATAGGAAATAGTTCATTTAAATTATAATATTTCAAAATATTACTGATTTTACTGTTTTTTTTATCAAATAAATGTGAACATAACGGACTTCTTTCATTTTTCAAAAATTCTTGCTATCGCTTTTTGAAACATAGTCTAAGATAAAAAAGAAGTTTTTGCAATAAATGACCTTCCTTTAAATCTTATTTTGTAGCTTTCATGATGTTTTCATAATTGTAATGGTAGAGGCACGTTGCGTACTCGTATTCTCTTTTAAAGAAAGCATTCTCTTGCAGTATTCCATGTCACTTATGGAATCACGAGAGTTAGGATAACCAAAGGAAGCATTATATTGTAACACCTTCCACATCCTTATCTGTCTCTGTCTGATTCTGTCTGAAGGAGCTCTGCTCCCTCAGCCTGGATTATGAACACAAAGCCATCATTGTGAAACCACCCAGCCTGCTGTCAAAATAGACCTATTAAATCAAAACAAAACTCAAACGTTTCTATCAGGCCCTTTAGATGTTCCACCAAAGTTTCCAATTTCACAAAATAAAACTGTGTCCCTCTGCATGGCCCTTTCAGTCTTGGCAGGCTTGGGCTATCAGCAAATCTGATAATCCCACTTTTGTGAGTCAGTCCTGTTTTTCTAAATTTGACATTTTCCTACCATGGGCCTGTATTTTTTGTATGTTTATAGAAAGATTGTAATAAGTTTATCAAAGTTATTGATGTGACTCTCATGTGTCCTTACAGTTGGCGCATTTCCATTACCCTTCAAATTGCGCAAATTGAAATTGCGAATTAAAAATACGTCGCCTAATGGAAATGCATCAAATCGCAAAAACGTTTTTACGCTCGCATGAGGTGGTTTTTCAGGCAATGCTAAAAAGGAATATTTTGCAAAACTGCAATGGAAACGGCTTTTTCGCATTTACAGGTCACATGGCGTATGTAAAAAGTCATATAATCATTCTTCAATGTACTTTAACCTCCAAGAAACACTTCATATGTGCCCGCTCTCCAGTATAAGGGGCTTTCCCTACCATTAAAGGGGTCATATGATGCGATTTCAAGTTTTCCTTTCTCTTTGGAGTGTTACAAGCTGATTGTGCATAGATAAGATCCCTGAAGTTGCAAAGACTAAAGTCTCAAAACCAAAACAGTCTGCGGTGCAGTGTGGCTCTGATACGGCCACTGAAGCTGATTGCGGCCACAAATGCTTGTTTATTCCAGAATCCAGCCGCGCCCGTTTCTGAAGCGGCTCTCTGTGCTGCTTCTGTAAAGATACACATATACGCCTCCTTTGAATAAATATAGCCAAAATCCCACCCAAATCTGTTGCCATGACTTATCGCGAGAGGCAAAAGGTTACGTTTCAGTCGCATAACATTGGTTAATGGAAACACCGTCATTTCGCAATACATTTTATCGACATTTATAAAATATCGCCAACGTTTTGCACAAATCTAGAATAGAAACGCGCCTAGTGTTACCTGCTAATATTGACAATTCTCTCATTTTGCAGATCAGTCAGATGTTGGGTAATGAGATGAAGTTTGCTGTACGTGAGCCCATTGGTCTCCGGTAAGACTTTAGAAATTATCATTCTCTTTCAGAACATGCACTTTCATATAATCAGACCACTGACTTGTCTCTGTCTTTGCATGTGACATCAGACACCCTGCTAATTTAATTGCTCCAGTGTTCTGTGCTGTTTTGTTTTTTGCCAATCCTTGAGGGTTTTGATTGTGGCTCATTTGTGTCTTATTATAAGCCAGCTGGTTTGATGTGTAGTGTCTTTCATTCTCTCATTGCAGGCTTTGGCTCCTCATCTCTGCAGTGCTTTTCACATCCACATCCTTAATGGTGAGAAGTTTAGTCAAAATGTTTAACAGTTCATTCTCCAAAATGAAATAATTCTCATTGTGGTTTGTTTAATCATTTACACTACTGTTTAAAAGCTTTGGGTCAATAAAAAAAATAAATAAATTAGTACTTCTATTCAGCAAGGATGCATTGATTCATTGCATTAATGCATTAATGAACTGTTTCCACAAAAATATTAAGCAGCACGGTTTTCAACACTGATAATAGTAAGAACTTTTACTTCAGCACCAAACCAGCATATTAGAATGATTTCTGAATGATCATGTGACATCTGAAGACTGGAGTAATGGCTGCTGAAAATTCATCTTTGCCATCAGGGAATAAATGACAATTTATTCAATTTCTACCATTTCTACATTTAAAATACAATATATTGAAATAGGAAATGGTTATTTTAAATTGTAATAATTTTTCACATTATTACAGTTTTTAATTGTATTATTTATATTTTTTCACATAAAAGCCTTGTTGAGCATAAGAGACTTCTTTCAAAAATGTAAAACAAAATACTATCAACCCCAAACCTGCTTTTCATTTTTGAATTTAGAATTGACATTTCTTGTTTTTCTGTCATCTTTTTAGCAGATTTAATGTTTCTGTACCATTACCTTCATAATGTGACCTTCTTCTCTGTGTTGTAGGCCCTGGCTTTTCCCAGCCAGCTCTACGAACTAATATTTGAGATCACCACCACCAGGATGTCCATCAGACTCTACGGGGGAGCCCTTCTATGTATGTTCAGCTTTATGGTATAACGTTTGAAGGAAGAAAGTTTAACACTATAAGCAAGGGTTAAATTGGGATTTGTTATGTGGGGGGGGGGGCTCTATGGTATCGAGCTTGTATATATGTGTGTGTGTGTGTTTTGTTTTTTTGCAAATATGATTTATTATAATATTCTCATCAGTTTTCTATCAGCTGTGACATATAGATCTGCGTGTTTTTTATATTTTATCCAAGGGCATTTTTTTTTACCTTTATAGAGGGCATTTTCCCACTAATCTCATTAATACTTTCATTTCAAATTCTTACATTTGATCTATAAATTCAATTATAATAATGTGATTATCTATACGTTATCAAATTAAGTCATTTACACTGAAAAATACAACTACATTAAATAATATTATGAGATTATTTTAAATATTTTTGAATATACAAACAAGAAATGATGATGGAAATTATACTTTTCAACGAAATTAAAACGCCAATAGGTGCCAGTAGTGAGCATTTAATGAGTGAGTCATTGAGTCATTCATTCAAACGATTCGTTCAAATGGCAGATTCATCAGATGTTTGTGCATGAGCTAATGAAACTTTGACTCAACCGATTCGTTCAAAACACGGAATCACTCAGCAATGAATCGGCTGTTTGCTGTGAGATGCGTTTCCGCCTAAAATGTAAGTGACCTAATATTATTGTATTTGTTTATTGAACTGTTTATAGAACTATTAAACAGTCGTAATGGTGAAAACATTGTGTGATGTTACCTAACTAACTGTATTTTAAATATAAAAACTTTACATTTTGAATTTTTACTTCAGGATGCTGAGTTTCTTTGTGTTGCGTGTTTTGATTTCTCCTGGAGAGGCTGCGTGAGCCTCGCCTCAGCAGCGCAACCTTATTCCATCAATAGATGCATTATATGCAGTAGCTATATCCACTATTCGTCACTTACTCTAAATGTAATAAAATCAGAATAATAGGTGTGTTTTGGTGTTTACATAGTTATTTTTGGTTACTGAGGTTTTAATCATGTTACTTGTCTGGCGTTAATGAAGCGTTAATGTCGAGCCCTGGAGTCTATGTGCTGGGGGTCAGCCCCGGACGGCCCCGGCCCAATGTAAACCCTGACTATAAGGCAGGGGTGTCCAAACTCAGTCCTGGAGGGCCGGTGTCCTGCAGAGTTTAGCTCTAACCCTAATCAAACACACCTGAACCAGATAATCAAGGTCTTACTAGGCATACTAGAAACTTCCAGACAGGTATCTTGAGGCAAGTTGGAGCTAAGCTCTGCAGGACACCGGCCCTCCAGGACCGAGTTTGGACACCCCTGCTATAAGGGATGATAATGACAACAAAGTGGCCTGTTCTGACATACACATACACTGCATTGCCACAAAAATGAGGGAACCCTTTGTAATTGCATAGTGTATGTAATTGCACTATTTCACGCATGTAAATAGCAGACAAGTCTGTAATGAGAGTCTATATGCAGTGGGTTTATATACAAGTCTATATACAGTGGGTATAGTATAGAATCAATTTGTTGCTTTGCAGCCCGAAATGAAGACGGACATAGTTTTTGTTTTATCCAGCTGTATTTACTCATTGCAACTTATAACATCCAAGTGAAAGATATAACACCAACATGCCTAAAATAAAAATAAAATAAAAATAAATAAATATCGGATGATTAGCTCAGCATTAAAAGAGCTTTCCTGGAGCATTAGTGTGTTCAGTCGCCAGCAAAACACAGTGTAAAGATATACTCTTTGAGAGAAGCAGTCAATCAGCAGAAGTTAAGCCTAAAATAAAAATAAAATAAAAATAAATAAATATCGGATGATTAGCTCAGCATTAAAAGAGCTTTCCTGGAGCATTAGTGTGTTCAGTCGCCAGCAAAACACAGTGGAAAGATATACTCTTTGAGAGAAGCAGTCAATCAGCAGAAGTTAAAAGCAGCTCGTAAGTGTATATATTTCTTGTCTGAAGAAATATCTGCGTCCACACGAAACCACGAAACAGACACAAAACGATGTAGTGTACATGCCAGACCAGCATGTGGCGCTGTAATTCTGCCACAGAGATACACTAAAAATGGAGAAGAAGACTTGAACTATGCGCATAAACTTTGCGCGCGGTATACAAACGAACATGGAACAATAGATTTATTAATATGTGTTAATGTTAGTTAATAAAAAGAAAATCGTTTAGTGTTTGTTCATGTTTTTGTTGCTGTTGCTGTTACGTAGCGATGTCTGACTAGGGGCGAGACGTGGGCTGATGACGTCATGATTTCAGAAAATATACGGATTCGCTGTCCACACGAAAACACAAGGGCGGCGTTTTCAGATTTATCCACTCTGGGACCCGGTTTCAAAAATATCGGTTTCACTCTCCCAAAACGCCGGATCCGTCTGGACGAAATGCCTATACGATACAAAATATATGCGTATACAGCTAAATGCGTCTCCGTGTGGACGGGGCCTCAGTATTTAGCGCAGTTGTCGCTGCTAGAAAACGCTTGTTTTGTTTACTGTGTGGAGACGTGCTGAAATCGCGTTTGGTCTCGTACTGTATCGCGTACCTAGACAGTGTTGTGCGCTTGCTTGGCCATTTGTTGTGATAAACAGGAAAGTGTGTTCAAGCCCCAGCAAAACACAGTGTAAAGATATACTCTTTGAGAGAAGCAGTCAATCATTAGAATTTAAAAGCAGCTCGTAAGTGTATTTATTTCTTGTCTCAGTGTTTAACGCAGTTGTTGTTGCTAGGAAATGCTTGTTTGGTTTACTGTGTGGAGACGTGCTGAAATCGCGTTTGGTCTCGTACTGTATCGCGTACCTTGACAGTGTTGTGCGCTTGCTTGGCCATTTGTTGTGATAAACACAGAAAGTGTGTCCAGCTGAATTCAATTTGATTTTTGTTAGATGAATATAAAAAGCTTAGTATACCGCGGCAGCCCTCGTCTGAAGCCCTCCTCGTGTTAAGACCGAAGAGTGTAAAGACCATCGACCAATTCTTGCTATGTGTTTCCAGATCCCTACTATCACCACGCATCACACACTGTAGGCAGCGCAATCCTAACAACCTGCACACTTTGCCTATGTCTACTAATACACTATTATAGTTGTTTATCGACTCCCAGGACCCCTAGGTAACTTTGTGGAAGAATTAGATGTGCTGCTCTCAACCTTTCCTGAGGATGGTACTCTCCTAGTTATGCTTGGAGCCTTCAACATCCACCTAGATAAACCTCAGGCTGCAGACTTCCACTCTCTGCTTGCCTCTTTTGATCTCAAGCGAGTGTTAACTATGGCTACTCACAAATCAGGCAACCACCTGGACCTTATTTTCACACGGCACTGCTCCACTGATCATGTACTGGTTACGCCACTGCACACCTCGGATCACTTCCTCCTTACTCTTAACCTCAACATGGTTCCTGACACAACACATACCCCTCCACGTGTCACTTTTCGACGTAACCTATGCTCACTCTCACCCACTTGGATATCTGCTATGGTTTCATCTTCATTTCCTTCCCCTGAACAGTTATCATCTCTGGATGTTAACATTGCTACTGATACTCTCTGCTCCACTCTGACATCTTGTTTAGACCCCTTGTCTTCCAGGCCAGCTCGTACCACCTCTTCTGCCCCTTGGCTATCTGATGTTCTCCGTGAGCATCGTTCTAAGCTCAGAGCTGCAGAAAGAGTATGACACAAATCACAAAATCCTACTTACCTTAATCATTCCTTCTCTGCTAATGTCTCCACTGCTAAAAGGACATTCTATCACAACAAAATTAACAATTCGCCTAACTCTCGCATGCTCTTTAAAACATTTTCCTCCCTCCTTTGTCCTCCTCCTCCCCCTCCTTCATCAACTCTAACAGCTGACGACTTTGCCACATTCTTCATTAATAAAATTACAAATCTCAGTGCACAATTTGTCACACCACAAACTGTCAAACACATCTTACCGGCAAACATACACTCATTTTCATCCTTCTCTCCACTCTCTGATGCAGAAGTGTCTAAACTCATCCTTTCCAATGATCCTACTAGTTGGCTTGATCCTATTCCATCTCATCTACTTCAAACCATTTCTCCTGCTGTTGTACCTGCATTAACTCACATCGTTAACAAATCCCTTCACACTGGTGTTTTTCCCTCAACATTTAAACAAGCTCATATAACCCCACTTCTTAAAAAACCCACTCTTAACCCAACTCTTTTAGAGAACTACAGACCGGTTTCCCTTTTACCTTTCATTGCAAAAACACCTTTCTCAAACAGAACAACCTCCTGGACAGCAACCAGTCTGGCTTCAGAAGTGGACATTCGACCAAGACTGCCTTTCTCTCAGTTGTTGAAGCCCTAAGACTCTCAAGAGCGGCTTCCAAATCTTCTATACTTATCTTGCTGGATCTGTCCGCTGCTTTTGATACGATGAACCACCAGATTCTCCTGTCAGCCCTATTGGAAAATGGCATCTCAGGAACCGCACGCCAGTGGTTTGAGTCTTACCTCTCAGATAGGTCCTTCAAGGTATCTTGGAGAGGTGAGGTGTCCAAGTCGCAACATCTAGCTACTGGGGTACCTCAGGGCTCAGTTCTTGGACCACTTCAGATCTCTGTCTACATGGCATCACTAGGTTCTGTCATTCAGAAACATGGCTTTTCATATCACTGCTATGCTGATGACACTCAACTCTACCTCTCATTCCATCCTGATGATTCGATGATAGCTGCTCGCATCTCAGCATGTCTAACAGACATTTCTTGTTGGATGACGGATCATCACCTTTAACTCAACCTGGCTAAGGCAGAACTGCTTGAGGTTTCAACAAACACATCACTTTATCAAAATTTCACCATCCAGTTAGGCTTATCAACCATAATTCCTTCAAAAACAGCTAGAAACCTTGGAGTTGTGATTGATGATAAGCTGAATTTCTCAGACCACATTGCTAAAACCGCCTGGTCCTGCAGATTTGCTTTATACAACATTAGGAAGATCAGGCCCTTTCTTTCAGAACATGCAACACAACTCCTTGTTCAAACTCTTGTTCTATCCAGGCTGACCTATTGCAATGCTCTCTTGGCAAGTCTTCCAGCCACTTCTATCAAACCTCTACAGTTAATCCAAAATGCCGCTGCAAGATTAATCTTTAATGAGCCAAAAAGACCGCACATCACACCTCTGTTCATTAATTTGCACTGGCTACCAGTAGCTGCTCGCATAAAATTCAAGGCATTAATGTTTGCCTACAAAACCACCACTGGCTCTGCACCCCTTTACCTAAATTCATTACTTCAGAGTTATGTGCCCTCTAGATTTTTGTGGCTGCTATGCTTTAAAATTAAATTATTATAATCTTAATTCAAGTGATTAAGCATTTTGAGAAGTCTGACAGTGATCAGTGTTGAATACTGCCGTAAGGTTAACCCTGCCTGTTTTAAATGTTTTGAAATGATTAATAGTTGAAATCATTGGTTAGAAATTTAGAAAAGTAATAAAAAAATAATCAAATGTAATGTTACATTAATAAAGTAATTGAAATAGTTACACTGCTTACTACATTTTAAATAGGGTAACTTGTAACCTGTAACCTATTACATTTCCAATGTAACCTTCCCAACACTGATTAAAGGGGTCATATGATGCGATTTCAAGTTTTCCTTTCTCTTTGGAGCTGATTGTGCATAGATAAGATCCCTGAAGTTGCAAAGACTAAAGTCTCAAAACCAAAGAGATATTCTTTATCAAAGTTAAGACGTTCCCCTTTCGGGCTCTGTCTTTACATTTATTTTGAAAGATGAAGCTCGCGATTATGGTAATGGGCGTTAAATTTCCGACGAGTTCTTGTGGTGTTCAGCCAATCACAATGCACTGGGTCAGCTGGCAAATCAGAGCAGACTGCGTTTGTTGGAAGGAGGGACTTTGTAGAAAAGAAGCGTTTGAGAGTATACACAATAATGTACAGTATTTGAAAAATAATGTGTTTTTTGAACATTAAAGCATGTAATAATAAACAATAATGATCTTTAAAAAAGCATCATATGACCCCTTTAAAGCAAAAGGTGGTTCAACAAAATACTGACACAGGGGTCAGATCCTTTTTCCAACTCTGTGATTCAGTTTTTTTTATTTCACTTGGATGTTATAAGTTGCACTGAGTAAATACAGCTAGATAAAGCAAAAACTGTCCTTTTACTAATGTAACCTTGGTTCCCTGAGATAAGGGAATGAGTGTTGTGTTGCGTCGCTGATGCTTATAGGGGAAACTCCTTTTTACTTTGATACTGAAGCCTGATTTGTTCATGTTTCTGTAGCTGCACGAATCAGTGGTGCTTCCACTCGCCAAAAGGAGTGGAGCCGACTGCTATATAAGGCTCTCATTTCGTCATAATCTTTTGACTCAAGCAACAGTCATCAGAAACAAGGTTATATTAGTAACTGGAGCGTTCACTTTCGAACTGTCTCTACCGTTACGTAGCTGACACTTATGGGGAACACATCCAATAGCGCCGTGCTATAAGCAAGTGCAGAACGAATGCACTCTGCGAGCCCAGCCCCAGAGCACCTATACTGAGGGCTCCTGTAAGCATGAGCCAATAATGAGACCCAAGCCGCTTAGGAAAAAGAGGGAACTGTGTCTGTCTTCATTTCAGGCTGCAAAGCAATAAAATGTGATTATTTTAAAGGGGGGTGATTCTTTTTTACCCACTGTAAATTGGCTAAAAAAGGAAACATTAAATATTATTTAAAAAAATACTACAAGTTCCACAAGGACAACCAAAAAAGTATGGCATTTGCAAAAGCATTGCAGATATCGTTCAAATAAAATGCATGTGCATGTATTGGACTCATTAGGACACATTGTATAATGGGCCACCTCCATGTTAACGCCCATCATTTTGGAAAGGGATGTTTAAATATGCATTTCTCCACATACTGTTGGCCATGTAGCGTATATGTGCATGTCTATACGCTTTCACTTTTTCCACTCCATCTCAATTTATGCATAGCAAATGCATAATGTAAACACATTTGTGCAATTCTGTCTCCCACTCACAGGAAATATTCATGACTAGATGAGCTTTTCACTGCCAGATTAGTGTATGATTTCAAGTGGTATGAATATTTTACTCCTCTGTTTTAAAAATGAATGAGTCTGTACAATTCCATTTAGCCACATATAGGGCAGGGCTTTCAGAGTGCTGGGCAGTGCTACTGTATTGGGACTTGTAATGACTCCCTGCTGGTCTTAGGATTCTTCACAATAACAGCACATGCCAGGCTCACCCCGTGCTTGAGCTTACAGTCAACTGTAGGAGGTCTTGTATTATAAAAGATTGCAGGGGTGGCTTATGGGTGTGTGAAAGAGAGTGTTTTGTGGAAATAAAATCCCTTCCCTCCCTATGCCCTTATTTCATTAGGAACAGCCGCCTATTTGTCTTTTTTCCATAATAGCGTAACACAGCCTCTAATTCAGCGTAAAGAAGTTTAGATTCCAGCCTTAACCAGTGGGGGATATAGACTATTATGCTAATGTGATTACATGCATTATCTGTCCGAGTGCTCATGAGTATGATGCTGCAGCAGAGCCCTGGAAGTTTTGCTGTATGTACACATAATATTAGTTTGCAAATTTTCAAAGGGCTGTATTTTGCAGTCTAGAGCCCTCACTGAGATCCAGTGGTCTTTATACAGTTTGACACAATTCATACCCCTGTGGTGATGCAAGGTGTGAGTGTTCTTCTGTCAGATCAATGGCCAGTTCGATGGTGGGAATTACTCAAGCAAAGCTGGAAAAATAGTGCTGGTAGATGGCACTTGGCAGGGTTGAAGAAACAGCTACTCTTCGTGTTATCCATATCCGCAGTGTGGGAGGATATCATTAGGTCTCTCTGTGCTTTTCCCCCGAACAGAATCAGAACTCACGGCACCATCGGTTCTCTGATCTTGGGCCAGATTTCAAGCTTTTTAATTCCAAGCCTAAGTGCTTGGGTGTTTTGAGGAGATTCTGCATTATATTTAATAGATAAGTGCCCTTTAATGTCTCTACCTGACTTAGGATGATCTCAGAATTGACTCTTGAGTGTTTTGCTCTTCCCAACAGGTATCTCATTAATTCTGTGGAATGGCTTGTACACAGTGGAAAAGGTCATCATTCAATGGACGCTACTTACAGAAGCGTGTTACTTCGGGGTACAATTTCTAGGTGAGAGAGATTTTTCTTTCTCCTGAGAACAGTGGGGAGACTGAGGGATGTGAGAATGGAAACTGACATTTAATCTTTATTCTACCTGTAATTAAGGGACATTTAGGCTTGAGGATAATTGATTTAAGCCAGTTCAGAATATTAGCAGGGCTCAATAGCAAGTTTTTTTTTTACATGGTTTATTTTAAACCTATTTATTTTTATGTATTTTTATATGTCATGTTTTGTTCCATATTTAATGTTTTTTTGAAAGGTTATGTTTTATGATTGTGATGTGTGATTACCGCATGATAGAGGTAAGTTTATAAACTCTTGCTTGAAAACAATGCAAAGCATTATATTTGTAACCCATTCTCAAGATGCTTCCAAGACTAGGACAAGTCAATAAAACCTGATGAAATCTGTCCTGAAACACTCTAGCACTGGCCCTAGGCCTAGACCAATGGGCCATCCTTTACTTTTGAGCCCTGGTTAGCAGAGAATGTCTGGAATACTCATTGTTCTTAATGCTGTACTGCCCTCTTATGGCAACAAGCTCTCTTTAAAATCCAATCCAATCCATGCTTCAGAGGATTAGAAACAAAATTAACCCAATAAACCCCTAAAGTAAATGTTGAAGAAAGTGATTACACTTATGGTATTTAGGACTGTCACATAATAAAAGTCTAGTTCTAACATTGCTGAAATATATGGTACATGCTTCTACTGGCACTTTATGCTTATGGTGCTTTTCCACTGCATGGTATGGCTCGGTTTGCGTTTCCACTGCAGTTTAGTACCGCTTTAGTGTGGGCGGGATTAGACATGTCGCTATCCACCTTTTTCTTGTCGTAAAAATGGGCGCGGCCATTTGTAAATTATATGGGTATGGCTTCCGGTCTCATCTGCGTCCACTCCGTCCAGCTATTTTTAGCTGTGCAAAACAGTTCATTTTGCTGCTTGATATTGAAAGTTGGTGTGTCTTATCATATTATTTTAATGTATTATCTTAATTATGAACACACTGGTTTGTAGTGCAAACAGTTTTACCGTTTACTGCACGTTGTTATTCTCCTCGTTATTTACCTATAGCGGCTAATGAACCGGAAGTCTCACCCATAGGCTTACTTCCGCTTTGAAGAAAAAGGTGGATAGTTATGCCGCCTCTACTGCCGTGACATCATCGTAAACACATCGATATAAACAAACACACAACAATGGAGCATATCGATGGAATGGTGTTCTTCATTCTCGGCATGTGGATGTTTTTAACTGCAAGATGAAGGAGTTTGTTTCAAAAGAAACACTGTACTTTTGAGACCACGAAACAGGCATTATTTTGTTGCTTTAAAAAAAGGTGCGCTCGTTCGAAACAGTTGTGTATGTTCAAAAAAAGTTGCGCTCGATTCTCGCTGGCTGTGCTGATTTAATCTAGCAGGTCTAGTGTCTCGTGTCACAAGTTCAATGACGCAGGTAGTGACTATTCTCTCTGGCCAATCAGTGATCAGCAAGGTTTACACGTCACATTTTGCTAACGGTAAGGCTCGCTTGGAACCTCAGCCGAGGTGGTACTGAAAAAAGTATCAGGTACCAGGTACTGTACCCAGTGGAAAACCCCCCAAAAGCCAGCTGTGCCTTGCCTTACCATGCAGTGGAAAAGCGCCATTAGATTAATAATTTATTTCATTTTGTTTTATTTGATTTTTTACTGATTTTACTTGGTTGTTTATTAACATAATATTGAATCGTTCGTTTTAGTGTTAATTTATTTATGTATTTATTTAATTTTTAGTTGTATTTTTATTTTTAAATACAATCCAGCCTGTCCCTTACGGCATTGTTTGTTGCTACGGCATGCATTTCCAAAAGAGGATGGCATGTTGTTGCCTTTCATTAATATATTTCATTAACATAACATATGAGTTAAATATGTTTGTGAATTTAGTGTTGTAGCTATGCTGCATGGCACTCTTTTGTCTTTTGCTAAATGTCTGTGTATGCTTCAGACTACTACTTTTTCTGACTTTAAAATTAGTCTCTGTACTCATCCCCCCCCCCCCCCCCCTCACCCTCTTGGAGATGGGCACACTGTCCAAAGGTGCAATCGTTCTTCTTCTCAGTGAAACCTTCTTCCTCTTCATCACCTTGAGTTACTATCATCACCTCGGCCGGCGCACCAAAAAGATCTGAGGAAGGCCAGCTATTTGTTAGAAGGGTAGATTGGCGGCACAGAATGCTTTGAATACAGTAGCACCACTGCCTGGACCAAATGAATTTACACTTGACTGAAAATCAACCTCTGTTTGTGGGCAATTTCCATTTTATGTAAGTACAATATCTGGGTATTTACTCTCATTAGATACAGAGGACCACAGATCATGACTGTTGTTTTTATGTTACATTATGTTACCTACAGTGGATATAATTATCTGACAGCTCACTTTTTTGTAAATGCTTTTTCTGAGATTTTATTGTATGGAGGGTAGATTTATGGCACATTTGTACATGTCAGAGAATCCCAAATGTGTCAAATTAGTTTGGGAAGATGACTGTAATTCAGGTCATATTATGTAAGAGTTTAGTGAACTTTCTGTATGTCTGTATGTGGTGTGTTATTCTATTACAAGAATGTAATTTTAAAATGGTACTTGTTATATTTGTCAGGCACAATAGACACAGCATGGCACAGTGTACAACAACATACTGTATACTGCAAGACAAAGGGTAATACAACGAATAGCATTCAATTAACAAATACATAACTTTTTTTATATATTACATACATAGGATTGCTACATTTACTTGTAGTTACTAACATTGCAAAGTGAAGACTTTGCAAATACATTCCTTTTGGATTTAGGTTCCCAACAGTACATTTTGGTAAGAATAACAGATGTAGTATTAAATGGCATTTAAAGTGTGTGTATTTCAGAAAGTACCTTATTAACTTAGTAGTTGTAAATGTATTACTGTTAGATCGTCAAATACAGCTTTGTGTGGCTTCACACAAAGAAATTCTTGCCCTACCTATTCAGATGTAACATTTTGCTGCTTTACATACCTAATGGACATTTACACAACAGTCACTAAAGTAAATAGTGCAATTATAAACTTAGTACAACTCCCCTTTAAGACAGATTAAAAGATTACAGAGAATCAGTCATTTGAAAAATCCTTTGAGGGTTCAGGTGATTTTTCCATGTCTTCATGACATTCAAGATGCATGCTACTAATGGCTTTACTTTCACAAATGTATCTGTATATATTAAAGGGACAGTCCACCCAAAAAATTGAAGTGCAACATTTATTTTTATTTTGGTTCAAAACTTATATCTATGTTCTGTGGAACAAAAAAGGAGTATCGTAAATGTAGTAAATACAACTGTGTTTCAAGTCTGAATTCATATGATGGTTCCTTTGTGTATCGTCATTGACAGGGAACTTCAGAGAATTTTCTTTTTTGGGTGAACTGTTCTTGTAACAACTGCCATTATGCACAACAGTCGTACATTTTCGAACTGTATGTGGTAAGATATGCTTTATGCCTTTAGTGATCATTGCATGAAGTCAACAATGCGGATCGATAGTAGCGCTAAAATGTAGCCCTTTTATAAAGATAAAATGTCAGGTTATATAAAGATATATTCAGTGAATAATACTTCTGTTCAACTTCCACAAAGTGTTTATTTAAAAATTGTTAGCATGTTGAATTTTATTCACCTCTTTATTGTCACTATGATGTAGCCATAACTGAGAATGTTGCATTTCTTTTATCATACTCCCTACATCTGGGCCAACATCAGCAAAAGTTAATTGTGAATAATCATATACATGATTATTCTATCATTAGAACTAGCAGGTGTTATTCCTAATAGTATATGCTTCTATAACTGAACTGTCATTTGAGATGTGGACAGTCACACTGCATAGATCTCAGATATTGCTTCCAGAGAAAAACAAATGGCTTTATTCTAAAGGGAAATCAGAGGATCATATGAATATGTGCTTTGGAAACGTCAAGTAAAAACTGCTGTTTGTTTATTTAAACTTTGCATATCTCTTGAACTGTTTAGTAATAGTTAACTAGCAAAACAATGGACCATGATTTGAAGTCATAGCAAGTTCATGATTATATAGACTAGACAGTATATTTTTAGGTCACTTTTTGCTTTGTAAATATTTGAATGATTCCGGAATGTTTAACACTTTTTTTGTATTTTTTTTAGGAAGATGATTGCAAAGTCAGTTTTTAGAACGTTTGTTCTAATTTTTTGTTCTTTTATGTGTTTTGAAGGAAAAAAACACTCATGTATGACAGTTACGTATCTACTTTTGTAGAGAGACAGTGAATGTGCTTAATAAATCTATAATGTTTTTCAAATGGAAAAAGTATTCTTGAGTCATTGTCTGATTTCCACCCAGGAGCACTGATTCTGATAAGTAGCTAAAGGTGTTGAGAGCTGTGCCCAGAGCAGTTTGAAAGTTTTAAAATCGGGTGAGATCTAATAACCTATGCATTGTCACAAACATACTCCTAAAGCAGGGCTGGGCAACTTTGGTCCTGGAGGGCCACTGTCCTGCAGAGTTTATCTCCAACCCTAATCAAACACACCTGAACCAGCTAATCAATGTCTTCAAGATCACTAGAAAGTTACAGTCAGGCTAGTTGTGTTTGATTAGGGTTGGAGATAAACTCTGCAGGACAGTTGCCCTCCAGGACCGAAGTTGGCCAGCCCTGTCCTAAAGTATATTGAGGCCACTGAACTTTCACAGGATATTATATATAACTACTGGAAAAACAAAAACAATCAACTCTCAATGTGAATGGTGCTTTCTCTTTCAATATTCAATGTTATGATGACTTTAGGAGTGAGGAGCAGGTTTGTTAGGTAGCTACCGATACAGCTTAAACTGTCCTGAATGTACTGCTTGTGTTCGGCTCAAATAACCGTGGGCTTCCCCTTTTTGGGACTTACACTTTTGTTTTATGCACATGCTGTTATCTCTACATGCAACACATTTGCACCCACAGCGTTTCAGCACTGTAAAAAATAAACTGTTGAGAAAACATAAAAAAACAAGGCAACTTGATACAGTAAGACTTTTGAGTTGTCTCAACAATTATTTTATAGTTCTTCTAAGTAACAATACTACGTTCAGCCAACCTAAATTATGTGTAAATAGTCACCACATTTCCATTTTTACGTCTATTTACGAATGACAAACATGGACTTATTCTTTTATCAGTTTATGTCATTAAAATTATAATGATGTTATCAAGAACATAAGAATCTGCACTTCACACCTTCACCTACCACCCCTGCAACCCCCCTCCCTCCCTCCCCCACCATTCAATGCCTTCTGGTCGACGCTACAGAGCACTGACCACCAGAACAGCCAGGCACAAGAACAGTTTTTCCCCACAGGCTATATTCAGTCTTAACAATTAATCTTTCATAATTATACATCGTCCATCACAACTAGCATAGTATATTTATATTAAACTGCACACTTTGTAAATAACATATCTGCACACTAATATACATATCTGTACATTTATCTAAACAATTAAATTTGTTCCTATACTTCTATTTCTGTATATAGTACATTATTCAAATTTATTTATTTATTTATTATATTAGTTTTATATTACATCCCTACTGTGTTATTCCTATGTATGTCAACACTATCATGTATGTCTGCACTATGTTTGTACTTTCTTCTACACTGGAAGCTCCTAAATTCCTTGTGTGTGTAAACATACTTGGTAATAAAGCTCTTCTGATTCTGATTCTGATTCTGAAATGTTCTAAACCACAATTGACAACATTGTATTTATTTATAAGGCATCGTAAAAGACTAGAATATCCAGAATAATGATTTAAGTGGTTGAACATACTCTAGGCCTCAATACTTGACACACAAATCTCAAGAACGGTGGCAATCAACAAATGTAAAAAAAAAGTTATTTAAATCACTGCACAGCAAACAACTAACAATAATGACAAAACGACAACGAAAAAGTTTAAATGAAGCCAGCAAACAGCAAAACAATAACCCTATAACAGTATCTGCATAATTTATTCATGCAGCAATGCATGCTGGGAACTCACAAAGCCTTAAAGGGGTCATATGATGCTATTTAAATTTTTCCTTTCTCTTTGGCTAACATCATATGACCCCTTTAACATTTCAGCAATATAAAATTCTTTGTTCAGAGTCAGACAACTGTGTTTGACTAGTTGGGACAACATTTGGGGTCAAACAACGGTTTTTATGTTCAATTCTGTTGGTCTAACAAGGATTTTTATATAGTTTCAAGAAAAGTGAATTTTTTTAGTATTTGAGACTCAAAAGGTTTCATAAGATGGAATGCAGTTGGATTTTTTACAGTGAGCAGATGACATTTCTCAGATCGAATGCTACGTTCACTTCATTGACAAAACTGTTTGTTCATTTGGCAGGAATTGGTGCAGCCCATACAGAATTGTAAGATATATTGCCCTATAGCATATTGCCTTTTGGACATATTGCCAAACTTATACAGGGTTTCCCCGGGTCCTTAAAAAGTCCTAAATTTAGTTTAATCAAATTTAAGGCCATAAAAAGTCTTAAATGGTACAAGAAAGTCTAAATTACGACTTCAAGACGTCTTAAATTTGGGGATCGAAAGTAGTTTAACAAAGGCTATGATTTTATTGAATGAATATGAGCATTGCACTTTTCAAAGTCGCACTTGCTTTGTGTACTGCGGTTGCCGGGGAAACTGCTATATTTCTGTCCTTTCAAGGAATTAGCATTTTCAATAAGCCCATCTGGTGTTTTTGTTCAGAACAAAGCGAAAATCGAACCATCTATGCTGCAGTTGTAAATGTTAACTGTGGATCAACAAGAAGCTAATGCTAAAGCATTATAAAAGTCTTGCTGTGTCCCAATTCACCTACTTATACTATGCCCTAAAAGTATGCGAATTGGGACGCAGCATCTAAATAATTAAGACACTAAGATATATCTATATATTATGTAATATAAGAATTTATTGATAATTGTATAATTGATATTTTTGACTCATCTCTTTTCTTAAAAATTGTTTAAAGGCTGAAATGTGAAGTTTATCATTTTATAAAACTTTTTGTTTTTGTGAAAGCCTGTATCTGAACTGAAAATTATGTTTTTACAGTCATTTTACAGTTTAATATTTTACCATAGACATTGCCCTACCCTGCTCAGGCAACATAACATTTTCTCATCTGTATGTATATCCTCTGGGTAGATGAAAATATAAGTTTATAACATGTATAAAATCCCCATAATAAAATATATACGTACATGTTAATATGTACAGTCGTGGCCAAAATTTTGGCAGCGACATAAATTTTGTGTTTTGCAAAGTTTGCTGCTTAAGCTGTTGTGGTGTTCATTCACATTGTTTCTAGATTATTGTGTAGAGTGATCAGATACATTTTAAATAATTGCTAAAAGCTTCATTGGCCAAAAAAATTAACTTTTCACAAAAACCGAATTTCACAGTTTTTTTGATCCTGACACAAAATGACCCGCTAACATTAATTGACTAATCATATCAGCAGCACATGTGAAAATGTGAATGAGTACTAGTCAGGTAAAATCACTAGCATACTAAATAGATTGTATGAGCAGACTGATGGAGTGAAGAAGCGCTTCCAATCATTGTGTTTTTGTTAGCAATGGTTACCGCCAAAGAAACACGTGCAGCCATCATCACTTTGAATCAAAATGGCCTCACATGCAAGGAAATTGCTACAAAGAATGTTGCACCTGAAAGAACCATTTACCGGATCATCAAGAACTTCAAGGAGAGAGGTTGGACTGCAGTGAAGAAGTCTTCAGGACGTCCTAGAGTGTCCAGCAAGCGCCAGGACGTCTCCTCCTGAGGAGTCAGCTACGGAATCGTGTCACCAGCAGTGCAGAGCTTGCTCAGGAATGGAAGCAGGTTGGTGTGAGAGCATCTGCACGCACAGTGAGGCCAAGGCTTTTGGACAACGGCCTGGTGTCAAAAAGGGCAGCAAAGAAGCCACTTCTCTCCAAGAAAAACGTCAAGGACAGACTGAAATTCTGCAGGAAGTACAAGGATTGGACAGCAGAAGACTGAGGCAAAGTTATTTTCTCTGATGAAGCTCCCTTCCGACTGTTTGGGACATCTGGAAAATCGATTGTTCAGAGAAGAAAAGGTGAACGGTACCTTGAGTCCTGTGTTGTGCCAACAGTGAAGCATCCTGACACCATCCATGTGTGTGGGGTTGCTTTTCAACCAA